TTTTTTTTCTTTGTTCATTTGCTTTGTTTCTTAATCAAATAAACCCAGGCCACAGAGGTCAGCAAGTCTGTTTTGAAGCCACCTCGGCTTTCTGATCAACCTAGCAATTTTTTTTTTTGACCAAAATGTTTTTCTTTCTTTTAGGTCACACAAAGGACTTTCACTGACCTCCCTCTGTGTACCTGTAGACCTTGCCCTCATTTGCAGAAAGAACACAGGACTCCTGCACATCGCAGTACAAGAAGCAGACTCCCTTGCACAACCCCGGAGCACTGAAGCCACAATTGTATGCTGGCACGGAGTCCGGGCATGATGAAGAAATGTTGCGGGCCACTGCACTCCCTTTGCTGATGAATGACCCTAAACCCCTTTAAAAATGCTTGGGCCAGGCAGAAACCTCAGAGTTGGCTTTTGGACAGGAGTCCACCTTCTCCCCAGGTTGCCAGTCTCCTGAATAAAGCTCAAATTCCCTTCCAATCAAAACTCATCTCTTCCATGATGATCTTTCAGGTGATGGGCAGCCAGACTTGGGTTCAGTAACAATGCTGACTTGATCTTGGACTTTTCCAGCCTCTGGAACTGTGAGCAATCATTTTTGTTGTTTACAAAGTATCTAGTCTATGGTATTTTGTTCTAGCAGTCCAAGTGGACTGAAGATTTGGACAGTGACTGGGTTTGGAATTACAGAGCACATCACAGAACAGCGGAGAACCCCAAATGCCGGATAGCACTGACTGTCCATCTTGTGAGCCTTCTGATGCCAGGAGGCTGGGGTCAGCTTCCTCCCCACCCAGCCACTCTCCCACCTCTTAGATCATGCTCCCACTCAAGGCCTCCACCATGTGTTTCTCAGGTACCCGGTGAAAATCAGAAATTGGAAATCAGAAATTGAGATGATTTTATTAGTTGAGCAGTTTAGCTTCATTTGTCTTCAATTCTCCATTCCAGACTATGCTCTGAGCTTTGCCTTTCATAATCAAAAAGGCCACTAAAGTATTTTCCTAAACCACAGTCACAAAACACTTCTTTCCTGAGTTAAAACTGGCACCGCCCATATCTTGGCTATTGCACAACAATGCTGCAGTCAAGATAGGGGTGTGTGTATCTTTTCGAATTCGATATGCACACCCCTATATTTATGGCAGCTCTATTTACATTAGCCAGGCTGTGGCAGCAGTCCAAATGTCCATGGCTAGATAGTAAAGAAGATGTGGTATGTATATACAACAGAAAATTACTCAGCCATAAAAAGGAACAAAATCTTGCCATTTGCAACCATGTGGATGGAACTAGAGGGTATAATGCTAAGTGCAATAAGCCAGTCAGAGAAAGACAAGTACCATATGATTTCACTTGTATGTGGAACTTAAGAAACAAAGCAAATGAACAAAGAGAAAAAAGAGACATCCAAAAAACCCGACTCTTAAATATAGGGAATAAACTGGTGGTTGCCAGAGGGGAGGTGGGTGGGGGATGGGTGAAATAGGTAATGGGGAGTGAGAATACACTTATGATGAGCCTGAGTAATGTACAGAACAGTTAAATCGTAGGGCAGCCGGGTCGCTCAGTCGGTTAAGTGTCCGACTCTTGGTCTCAGCTCAGGTCTTGATCTCAGGGTCGTGAGTTTGGGCCCTGCATTGAGCTCCACGGTGGGCATGAAGCCTACTTTAAAAAAAAAGAATTGTTGAATTGTTATATTATGCAATGACACCAATATAATACCGTAGGTTAATTATACTGGAATTGAAAAATAAATATAAATTTTTAAAAAACTGGTGCCTCCCAGTACAAATTAAAACCACAATGACATACGACTTTAAAACTACTAGGATGGGGAACTCAAATACATGGAGGCTAAAGAGCATCCTACTAAAGAATGAATGGGTCAACCAGGAAATTAAAGAAGAATTTAAAAATTTCATGGAAACAAATGAAAATGAAAACACAACCATCCAAAATCTTTCGGATGCAGCAAAGGCAGTCCTAAGAGGAAAGTATATAGCAATACAAGCCTTTCTCAAGAAACAAGAAAGGTCTCAAATACACAACCTAACCCTACACCTACAGGAGCTAGAGAAAAAAACAGCAAATAAAGCCTAAACCCAGCAGGAGAAGAGAAATAATAAAGATCAGAGCAGAAATCAATGAAATAGAAACCAAAAGAACAGCAGAACAGATCAATGAAACTAGGAGCTGGTTCTTTGAAAGAATTAACAAGATTGATAAACCCCTGGCCAGACTTATCAAAAAGAAAAGAGAAATGACCCAAATCAACAAAATCATGAATGAAAGAGGAGAGATCACAACCAACACCAAAGAAATACAAACAATTATAAGAACATATTGTGAGCAACTCTATGCCAGCAAATTAGATAACCTGGAAGAAATGGGTGCATTCCTAGAGATGTATCAACTACCAAAACTGAACCAGGAAGAAATAGAAAACCTGAACAGACCTATAACCACTAAGGAAATTGAAGCAGTCATCAAAAATCTCCCAACAAACAACAGCCCGGGGCCAGATGGCTTCCCAGGGGAATTCTATCAGACATTTAAAGAAGAATTAATACCTATTCTCCTGAAACTGTTCCAAAAAATAGAAATGGAAGGAAAACTTCCAAACTCATTTGATGAGGCCACCATTACCTTGATCCCAAAACCAGACAAAGACCCCATCTAAAAGGAGAATTACAGACCAATATCCTTGATGAACATGGATGCAAAAATTCTCACCAAAATACTACCCCATAGGATCCAACAGTACATTAAAAGGATTATTCACCATGACCAAGTGGGATTTATCCCTGGGCTGCAAGGTTGGTTCAACATCCGCAAATCAATCAACGTGATACAACACATTAACAAAAGAAAGAACAAGAATCATATGATCCTCTCAATAGATGCAGAAAAAGCATTTGACAAAGTACAGCATCCTTTCTTGATCAAAACTCTTCAGAGTATAGGGATAGAGGGTACATACCTCAATATCGTAAAGGCCATCTAGGAAAAACCCACAGTGAATCTCTTTCTCAATGGGGAAAAACTGAGAGCTTTCCCCCTAAGGTCAGGAACGTGGCAGGGATGTCCACTATCACC